AACACCGCAATCTGCCCCCAGACTCTCCGCCCGCGGTGGGCAAGATGAGGGATTCTCTCTCCGGGGGCCTGTACCCGTGCTCTATCCGGAGGGCCTCTTCAGCAGAGACTTCTAAGGTCCTCTCATCATCCGAGTGGATCTCTTCAAGCACTTGGTCATCGGTGCTCTGGTAGACAGTGTGGAGCCCATTGATTGGATACGGGAGCGGGGCATCAGGATTCCATCGCTGTGGGTCTCCCACACGAGCCGCCAACTCATCTTTCCATCGCGGTCTTGCACCCTCACGTAAGACTTTGACAACCCCACCGTGGAAAGCTTCATAGGCCTGGCCTGTCCGCATAGGCCTGTCGCTGCCGAATGCGTAGGCCTGCAATCCGGCTGGCCAGCCTTCCACCATGTTCATGAGGATGCCTTCCCTCGTGATGGGGCTTTCAAAGTACGCACCAAAGATGCTTCCCCCGACCTCAGTCGTGTCAATGATGAGGGCGACCTTGTCTGTCTCCTGGATCCACGGGGGGTAGGCGATGAAACTCCCATATTCGCCTCCAATCTGCGGGGTCGCAGGGGCATACAAGGAGAAGTACTCTGGGATCACAACGCATGTGTCCTTGAGGATCTTTGATAACTTCTCCACCGTGGTTGGGAATGGGACCTCTGCATCCACGACCTCCGCCTCATAGTACGGGGCCGTTACCCAGAGGGTCACATGCACCGTTGCCACTTCCATTCGCGGCTCGCCCGGCTCGGTGTCTTCTGCCCTTATCTCGTACACTGGTATCCGAGCATCACCTGTGCCATGTTCCAATGGTCGATTGTGCACTACCTCGTCCATGGCCCGCAGTGCCTGCTCTCTTGCCGTAAGTTGTCCCGAGGTCCACATCTCCAAGTCAGTCTGACGAGGGACACCCAGGGCCGTGTGGCTGCGAGGTCTATCCGGGGCCGCTTTCACCTCATTGATCACAGAAAGTGTCATCAATACCAGACATATTCTGCCAGGGATTGGTCCTGCCGCTCTGCGCGTCCTCCGCGTCATGGTCGGACTGGCCATCACAACGAGCAGGGAAATCATAATGATGGACATCATCGTCAATGTCCCAGACACCAGGGCCCTGCTCACCAGCTCCAGGTACTCCCCGATCCTTTGCCAGATCATTGTTCCGGCAATTTCCATCATGTCCATGACATCATAGACCCGTCTGTTCTTCACCGGTGGGTCGTGGCCTCCCGCAGGGCCGTGCCCAAATTCGGCTGCATGCCATCGTCTCGAGGGCATTCCAGCATAGCATCCGTGGGGATTGTAGCACCGAAACTCGTACGGCTTCAGTACCTGAGGGTGCTCCCAAGACGAGCATCCTCCAGGAGATTCATACGTTGGATTGGTGCAGGGCCCTATGCGGTTGGCACCTGCAGTCCAAGCCCCAGGCATAAGGCCTCCAGGGCTGCTCACAGTCAAGCACATAGCAGACGAACCGAAAAAGCTGCTGTGCTGCCATTCCACTCTTTCCCCAATCGTTACTCCACGCCAAGCGGGTCCTCCGGGATGGTACTGCCGAGGGAGCCGACCAGGTCGTTCTCTTCGTCGTCCGTGACCTCCATAACGCCGACCTGCTCCGCCTCGGCCCTGGCCTTTGCCCGCTTCTCCTCCAACTTCTCCGATAGCACACCCGGCTTGGTGGTCTGCACCGGTCCCATCACCGTTGTCTTCACTGGTACCCGGGGACCATGTGCATGGGACCGCGACCTCGATCTCACCGTTGGCAAGGCGCCTCTCGTAGAGGGGGACGCCTGGTAAGGCTCCCTGGAGGTCGCCGGAGGTTCTCCACTGTAGGTTGCCTGGCCTTCGGGTGCCGAGGCACTTGGCCGCTCTCCCTGTTTGGAGTGGCCCCTCTTGTCCATTGGTGTGGATGCCGAGGGCGGTGCATTCCGTCGGCGTGGTGTTGTTGGGGCTGGTTCCTCCTCCGTCATTCCCAAGAGGCCCAAAAGCTGCCTTCTTGCCGCCGCTGTCAGTTGGTGGGGCTGTGTTGTACCTCCCATCAATCCCGTGAGTCCGGCCCAGGGATCCTCTGTCTCCGCCATCAAGTCGTCCCAGTCCTGAGCGGCTTCTTTCGGGATCTCCTCCTGCATCATCGTGGCGAGGGCCTCCGGCTGCGTGAAGATCTTCCGGAGGTTCGTCATAGCCTCCTCCTTCTGCTGGGCCATCTCTTCCTGCTCTTGCCTGATGTGGGCTACACGGTCGTAGTATCGCTGCCTCTCCTGGACAAACGATTTCTTGAGCTTCTTCTGGTACTCGGCCCACTTGTTCTCCGCTTCTGCACGCTCCGAGTCGCCCTTTCTCATTTTTCCATCCGATCGACGGATGGTGTTGACCCATTTTTGCACCAATCGTGCAAGGTCTCCGGAGTCCTTCTTGCCATTCTCGGTCTCCGGTTGATCTTCTCGTCCAGCACCCTTGGCAGCCTTCCGTCCACCTGTCGGCATAGCATCGTAGCTGGGGAAGCTCGTCGGTGGCACATCGCCTTTGGCTCTCGCCGGCTTTCCATAGCCTTTGCCCGCCTGGTCCTGCCATTCCTGCCAGTCCCCATTGTATGCAGAATGCCGATAGTATGGCTGCTCCTGCCATGCGCCTTTCCATTCCGGCTTTCGTCCCATCGGGGGGTCGAGCTCAGAATATCTCGGGGCACTGTGGTGCCGGTGCAGAAAGATCAGGTCCTCGTTCCGCGGAGTTCGCCCGTCTTCCCGGGCCTTGTGGATATTTGATCTCGCCTTCGAACGCTTCCTGCGTAAGCGCCGGTGCCAGGTCGGAGATCCTTTATGCAGTCCTATGGCTGCGCGTTGTGCTATTCGCACGTGGGGTTCGGCAATGCGTCAACTACGGGCGCTCGATCCAAAACCCTATATATGATATGTTTACATATTTTTTATCTATATGTAAATGTATATGTGTGTTCATTCTGTTTCCGTTCGGGATGTTGGTGTATCCTACGGCTAATCATAAGACTTGCCATAAGAACAGGGGCTATGGGCAGGAGGAGGAGCAGGAGGAGCAGTAGGAGAGGATGAGAAAACAAACGACGATCACAAGAGCGCAAAGAAGGCCCCCACCTTCGAGGAGCATCCCCAGCAGCGGCGGCGGTGGGAGGGGGAGGAACAAATGATGAACACATGGAAGAAACAGTTTTGCTGAGTAGCCTCCATCGTCGCGTCATCATCGCCACCACCATGATGCTAATCTTCCTGCCCGAACCAGTTGGCCCAATACTCCTCAATTAAGCAATACTCAATACTCATCATTGAAGGTTTCTGAGAAAGAGTAAGGTTAGTGCTGTTTTGGTATTGGGCTGCATTGCGACCGTTCTTCGGCAGTGCCCCGAAGGAGATGGCGGGCTCCTCTGTGCCCAAGAATGCTATTACCTTCAATTCAGCCGTGAGCACCTGCGGGTAGCCCTCGCGCACTTGGCAGGGGGTCCGGGAAGTGTCTACCACTGGGGCCTTATGTAATCATTACCTCTACTATTTTGAGGGTTCCTTATTGTAATGAAAGTATAATGGGCCCCAAGACCCTATTCTAATGAAAAGAGTAAGGCCGCCTACATTAGGAGGGTATGCTTCTGCAGAGGTCAGGGGAGGTTTAGGGTTTCAGCAGCAGAGATACTTTCTGCGGCCTCTTGCAAGGAGCCTTTCACTAATGGCTCATACCGTGGGGTATTGGCACTTAGAGGATCAGGGGAGAGGGGACTTAGTCATAAGTAAGGTAGGCATAGCTATACTCACCCATATTCCCAATCAAGGTACTTACAACCTACTTACTAAAGGCAATGACTCTTTCAGTATGCCTGAGCTGCAGCTCCGGAACCACTCAGCACCCGAACCACGCAACACATGGGCCTCGCATCAATCGCGCAGCTTACACCCTCAAGCCTGCGAATGGGATTTAGGGTTAGAGTTAAGGGAGTAGGGTTCAGGGCAGCAGAGCCCTAGAATTACAAGTCCACATAATCCGCTGACGCCCAGCATTGAACACCACACCCCAACGAGTCCTCAAGCCCTGACACACCGAAACCGGTGCAGCTCAAGCTGCAAACCAAGCCGTCTGGGGTTTTGGATTCAGGATATTCGTCCTGTTTGAATTTTGGTTGATTAAGCATTGATGTTCTAGGATTTGTGGGTTGTGGGGATAGAGTGTGTCGGGTTTTGGATTTTTGACGGTGTGTGGCATTCAATGAAGGCTGTAGACTCTGAACCTTAATGCAGGGGCCTTAACAATTCGAATAGGGCCTTAACAATTCGAATAGGGTTTGGGGATATTTTATTCTATAGTCATAACGAGGAACCCTCAAAACCCTATTCTGATTATCAAGGCCCCTGCATTATTTCCTCCCTGTATCCTTGCCTTGATACTATTTGGGCACATCGATGCAACTGAGATCTTTTCCCGGGGCTGGAGGCAGTCCCATGATCCTCTAAGTAGAACCTAGAACAGCTAGAGAATCAGGGCCCATGCCCCGAAGTACATGTGCTGCCACATGGACTGCCTGCAAGACGGAAAGTCCAGAAATCGAGTTCAACCCTAGACCCTAAGTGCTTAAACCCCAAACCCCAAGTCTAAAATAACCTCAGACCCCCCAATCTCAAGCCAAAACCCCACACCGTACTTTAAGGCTCATGGGACTTAGTAAGTAAGGTTATAAGTAGGTTATAATTAGGATAACCCCACTTAGGGGACTTATAACCCCAGTTATAACCTACTTACTAAGTCCCATGATCCTCTAAGTACATGTCATACACCCGGAACCGAGATTCCCACACCTTGAGTCCCAAGTCTTGAACGTGGAGGACCCGAAAGCAAGGCCATGCACAGCCCTAATGGCAGTTTCCCGCTTTAGAACCGCCCCTTAAAGGTTAGCAGTATAGTAGTAGTAGTAGTACCCTTCTAGAGCCTCCTGTATAGAACCCTTACAAACCCCCTAACCCGTCCAGAAGCTGTGGATTCTAGAATCGCAATGAGCAGGACCGGGGGTCAACATACTTAAAACGCAGGTTTATGTTTGGGGTCTAGATTGGCGTCTAATTCCAACACATCTTCACGTCAAAAAGCAGATGTATGTTTTTTTTTTCAGTTTGGCGTCTAATCACAGCATATTTTCACCTTCCAGGGCGTCGGCGCAGTGGAAGGCTGCATTGGCCCTCTTCAGGGAGATGCAGGCGCTCCGGCCCTCAGCAACCCATGTACGGTCTTTGGGGTTTGTGTTGGCGTTTTGTTGGAGTTTGTAGAAGTGACGTATATATTAAAGTGAATACATACAGACACATACGGTTTATGTGGGTCTTTGGGGTTTGGACAGGGTGCTATTTTGTTTCATCAATGTTTGGTAAAGTCATGCCATAATGCAGGCTCCTGACTAGTCAATCCTCTTTGTTCAATATGGTTTTCAAGGTTCGGATCCTTGTAGTGGTTTGGTCTGTCCAGGGTTGTCAACTTGTCCACATTGCGTCACCCTCCCCTCAACTAAGCCCAATGAGCATTCTTTCAAGGGGAAAATCGTCTGCGTTTTTTCGGGGCGCCATATTAGTGCCAAGGCTGGCAGACCGAACAGTGTTCCTGCAGCCAAGCCGTCGGCAAAGCACCACATGCAGAGCCCGAGGAACACAAAGCACCCGAAAGCCGGACCCCAAACCCCTTGGCATTATCAACTCCAGAATACGCATCCCGATATAAGCAGGTGCTGCCATTAGGGTCACGGCTCCAGGTCTGAAATGTGAGCTTCTAAGGCTTGAGGTAGAGGAAACCCTGAATCCCGAGCCCAAAATTCTTCGCCCTGAAATCCGAAGCCCTGAACCAGAGAGCCCAAAGCCCGAAAGCTGGAAACTTTATTCTCAAAGCGCTGCAACCACAATTCCTTCAACCTAACTCCGTCTAAATCCTAGAGCCCTGAAGCCCTACATCCCAAAAACAACTAAACCCGAAAATAACACATCAAACCCTTCAGCAACGTTTGAAACCGTCTCCCCTGGCGAGGCTTCGGCCGTCCCCGCAACTGCCGTGTCCTTTGCGGCCGTGATCGCCAGCTGTGCTGGAGGCAGACCCAACAGTTTAAGGTAAAAGCCAGAAAGTTGGAATATGATTATCCTAAACCCTTTATGGTAAATTATAAGGTATCCTGCCCTGAAACCATATTCCAACTTTCTGGAGTTCCCTTTAAGGTGCAGGAGTTCAGGGTTGAAAGAATTACAAGAATTGCGACTGGTTGCTCCGGGTTCTTGGTCTGTTTGTAGTAGAAGGAACCCTAAACCCTAACCCCGAAGCCCTAAACCCTAAACCCTATATCCTAAACCCTAAACCCTAAACCCTAAACCCTATACCCTATACCCTAAACCCTATACCCTAAACAGGATCCTGGCAGCGATCGCTGGCCCTGCTGGCAGAGATGGTCCTGGCACAGGCGCAGGGCCTTCGATCGATTCTGCGAGGGCTTTTGTTTAAGACCCCAAAAATTCCAAAACCTGGCACCTTACACCGACGGTTTCGCAGGATGGAATTTTTTGAGAAGCTTGTGGTGATTTCGCTAAGCGGGTGTTAGAGTCTTGGTCTTACCTTTCTTTTTTTTGAGCTTTTTGGGCTCTTCTGTTTCGGGTGGGAAAGTCGGGTCTCGTGGTTTGAGTTCTTGCTTTGTGGGATTGAGGTTTCGTGATGCGATGCTAGGTCTACTAAGGCTGGTTGAGCAAAGCAGCCTTGAGGAATCACCTCAGGCCGTGAAGCCTAAACAGACCTAAACCCGAATCCTTAACCTCCTAAACCGTCCTAAGCCCTAACCCCTAAACGCCCTGAACCCTAAAAGCCCTAAAGCCTAAAAGCCCTAAACCCTAAACAGGCCTAAACCCTAAACAGTCCTAAACCCTAAAAGCCCTAAAAGCCCAAAACAGTCCTAAGCCCTACCTAGACCCTAAGGAACCTACCTTTTTTAAGGTTCCCTTGGTATGATTTCTTTACATAAGTCCTAAAAAAGGTAGGTTATTTGGGGTTAAGGTATAGGAGTTTCCGAAAATCCTTAAACCGTAAACCCCTAAACCCTAAACCCTATAGATCCCTATAGATCCCTTAAAGGATCCCTTCAAAGGAACCTATAACTACCCTAAAAGGGGTAATGCCCGAACAAGACCAGGCCGCGAGCACCTTGGCCTATGCGGCAGTCATTGCGGCTTGCACAGCGGAAGAGCGTTGGCTGAATGCCTCTCGGTTGATTCCCAGAGACTCCAATATCCCTTAATTAAGGAATATACCTTAAATTATAGGAGTTGGCTGAACGCGTCTCGGTTTAGGGCTTAGGGTTTAGGACTGTTTAGGGTTTAGGGTTTAGTTGATTTATGAAGGTTGGCTGAATGCGTCTCGGTTGCGTTCTCCGGAAAGCACGGTTCATTGTATATTACACTATATGGGCTTCATTTTGGCTGCGAAACTTCTGAATCCCGCCAGCGAATTGGGGGAAACATTTGGGGCACGCCCTACAGTCGCTGGTGCAGCTGGGGAAGGATTGCCGGCCGTTCTCCTGCATCACGTGAGTATCTGGAAGAATCATCTTGACGGTGGTGTCCTCGTGCTGTTTAGGATACTAGATTAGGGTCCCTACTTTCAGTCAGAAGCCGTTCTTCTAGTTTGTTCTCGCGGTCGGTGGTTTCTTGGAATCTCCTAGTGCTCTGCTGGTGGTCTCTTGGTGGTCTCCTGGTCTGATAAATCTCCGGGTGGTCCGGAGCTGGTCCTCGGTGGTTTCACCGTGGTCGCGGTGGTCGTGGTCTTTAAAGGGTTTTGGAGGTGTTTTGAAGGATTTATTCATTTCCTTTGAGGTGTTTTGAAGGATTTATTCCTTTCTTACGTTTTTGAAAGGTTTGTGAGGGTTCAGTTTAAGGGTCTCGGTATTTTTTGCAGCAAGCGCCTGCCCATGCTCAGCTTCGCGTCTTGCCTGCTCCTGGTGTCAGGTGAATGCTCTTTTGGCTGAGATGGCTGCAGACTGCTTGCTGCAGAAAAGTAAAGGAACCGATCCTCCAGTTTCGGTTTTGGGGTTTAGGGGCTTGGGGGTTAAGGGTTTAGGGGTTTAGGGTTTAAGGTTTAGGGTGAACCCCAAAGCCTGAAGCTTGAACCTCTGCGCCTCAGGGTTTCGGGTAAGTCGCAAGCTCTTCGAAGCGGGTCTGTAGCTCCTTGACGAAAGCAGGCACCAAAATACACCCTAAACCCTAAACCCTAAACCCTAAACCCTAAACCCAAAACCCCAAAACCCTAAACCCTAAACCCACCGGCGTCTCAACAACACGCGGGTTGCAGCTTTGGGGTGGGGTTTGGGGGGTCGGTCTTCGGGTTTCCTTCAGGTCTTACGGTTTGGGTCTTGGGGTTTAGGGCTTGGAAGCCTTAGGATTATAGTGTACTACCAAAATACTATAGTATACTACGATATACTATGATATACTATAGTATACTATCATTTGCAGGGCTGTTGGGAGTTGCTCCACGCCCAGGGCCCAAGTCCACAGCGACTCTGAACCCCACACTCCAAACTCTCTGAGCTGTGAACCCGAACCGAAAGCCTCAGCCCCAAACCCCACAGCAATTGCCGTGTTCAAGCAAGAGGTTTGTATGGCAAGTGCATTGTTCCCTTGTAAAAGCGTCCAGAAGTTGACAAGGGCGCAAGAAAGAGTGGATGTCCTTTAGAGGTCTGGTTCACTAGCAAGAGTATCCTTTGATAGTCGGTACAGTCATGCCTCGGCTCGGATGACACCCAAACCCTTTTTCATCATAAGGCCCCTATATCAACCCAAGCCCGAATCCCTGTGACTTAAACCCGACATTTAGCATCTCTGCCGATGCGCGCTGCATCGGTTTGTGTGTCACTGCTCGCATGGATCTGCTACAGCGGGGCCGTCGAAAAGGTGCTGAATGTGCCGAGCAACTCGACTTAGTAAGGGTGGCGCTGGATTGAAAGCCGCGATGTCCCTGACCTATTCAGGCCTCAACCCTGAGCATTTAAGCCTAACCTTACACCCGAAACCCTAAACCCTAAACCCTAAACCCTAAACCCTAAACCCTAAACCCTAACCTTACACCCGAAACCCTCAAACACTGAGGGTCTCCCTGGAAAGCACTGCTAAGGGTTCCAAGGCTGCTCTCCTGGGGCCCTACAGGGGTTCCTATAACAGGCTTCCTTTAAGGGTTAGGGTTTAGGGTTTAGGGGTTTAGGGGTTTAGGGTTTAGGGTTTAGGGTTTAGGGTTTAGGGTTAAGCCTTAAGCCTAAAGCCCTGGCCTTAGGATCCTGAAAAGCAGAAGCGTGAAACCCAGGCGCCCACGCTTGCTGCGAGCTTTGCTACGCAAAGAGCAGCGCGGGACCCTGTGAATGTCGGGGTATTTCACAAAGTTGCGGCTGCTGGAGCCTTACTTAGCCCATTCTCTCAAGTTGTGACCTTTGGGTTTAGGGTTTTTGTGACAGGAGATTTTTCAAGTGTCATAAGTCATAAGGCTTCATTCTTTTAAGTTTTTTGGGTTGATAGGGGTTTTGGACCTTTAGAGGCCTCAGTGGCTAGAATAGAGTTGTGAGTCAGGGATGGTTCTATCATCGTAGTGCCATGAGGATCTACTGTTGCTCTTTTCCAGAGCCTAAACTCGACGAGCCAAGCCCGAAATCCCTAAACCCGCATAAGTCCTTAGTCCCTAAAGCCCTGAGCCGTAGACCCCCAAACCCGGGACCCTAGACTCGGAGGCCGTACCCCATCGAGTAGCATAGAAGTCTGAAGAATCGAGAATCGTGTCTATCATATTCCCTACTCGTATACTTTCAGTACAGAACGCACCACAGCCCTGTTCCTAAAACCCTAAACGCAAACCCCGAGCCATCGGCTTTCCCTTGTGGGTTAGTCGCGTTTTCATGCGAACACCCAGCAAAACCCAAACCCCTAAGCCGCAAAACTTGAGAACTCTCAACCCACGCCCTAAAGGATCAACTCCAAAGCCAAACCCAAAGCCAAGCCCTATATCTTCCACCTCAACCACCGCGAACAAACGCAAAGATAAGCAGCATCAAAAGCTCAAGAAATACTTCTGTAGTATCCTGAGCAGTAGTAAAATAGTATCCTCACAACAACAACAGCAACAGCAGCAACAACAACAACAACACTATGGTAGTCTTAAAAGGAACCATAGTTCCCATTTGTTCTTCCTTCCCTGGCAACCAGAAAAGACAGGGCTACCCAGTATACCATAATGTACTATAATACACGATGATATACTATAATACACTATGATATACTATAAAAATATACTTTAATACACTATGATATACTATAATAATAGACTAGAATACACGATGATATACTATATTATAATACACTATGATAAACTATAATAATATACTATAATACACGATGATATACTATAATATACTATAATACACTATGATATACTATAACATACTATCATATACTGTGACAAGGCTGCCAGGCGGCCCTCTACGAAGAGGCCGAGCAGCTTTGCCGGCTCGGGGGTCCTCGGATGCCCATCACAGGCCCTTGCGGTGATCGAGGGCCTTTTCGGGTTCCGTCATCTGGGTTTACGGTTTAGGGTTTAGGGTTTAGGGTTTAGGGTTTAGGGGCATCGTTGAAGGATGTGTCTTGGGTTCAGAACTGGAGGGTTTATGGTGTGTTTTTTTTCCGCATTTGGGTGCTTGTATGTCGTTCAAAGCCGTTTGCAACACTATCCTGAACCTGAAAGCCCAAAACCCTGAGTCCACAATCTAAACCCCGAGCCCCCTAGGCCCTGAGCCCTAAACGCCCTCGACCCAATCCCCTGCATCCCCAAGCCCTGCAAAGCTTCAAACCCGGGCCGTGCACCCGTTAAAGCAGGCCCGGAAAAGAAGCACACGCAGCTGCAACACCATCGCAAAGCCGACGACAAGCATCCCAACCCCAAAACCACAACTCCAAACCTCAGAGCCGAAACCTCCTAAGCCTTAAATAAAGCCCTAGGCCCGGAACTGTTCTGAACCTGAAGCCATGCAGCCCGAAGCCTTAAACATGAAAAGCCCTTAGAGCAGAGTATAGTATGTTATAGTATATGACAGGATATTATAGTATATCATAGTGTATTATGGTATATTATACTACATGATAGTATACTATAGTACCTCATAGTATATTGTAGTATACTCAGTATACTAGAGTATTGTACCTCACAATATATTCTATTATTTTCTAGTACGTTACAGTCTTTTCCATCACTTTTCTGGCATAGTAAGGCGTAAACCCTAAACCCTAAGCCCCAAACCCTAAACCCCTAAACCCCTAAACCCTCAGCCCAAAACCCCAAAACCCTAAACCCTAAGCCCCAAACCCTAAACCCCTAAACCCCTAAACCCGAAGCCGCAAACCCTAAAACCCTAAACCCTGAGCCCCAAACCCTAAACCCGAAACCCCTAAACCCTAAGCCCCAAACCCCTAAACCCTAAACCCCTAAACCCCTAAACCCCTAAACCCCTAAACCCTAAGCCCCAAACCCTGAACCCGAAACCCCTAAACCCCTAAACTAACCCCTAAACCCCTAAACCCCTAAACCCTAAACCCTAAACCCTAAGCCCCAAACCCCTAAACCCCAAACCCCTAAACCCTAAGCCCCAAACCCCTAAACCCCAAACCCCTAAACCCCTAAACCCCTAAACCCCTAAACCCCAAACCCCTAAACCCCTAAACCCCTAAACCCCTAAACCCCTAAACCCCAAAACCCCTAACCCCTAAACCCCTAAACCCCTAAACCCTAAACCCTAAGCCCAAAACCCCAAACCCCTAAACTAACCCCTAAACCCCTAAACCCTAAACCCTAAGCCCAAAACCCCAAACCCCTAAACCCTAACCCCTAAACCCCTAAACCCCTAAACTAACCCCTAAACCCCTAAACCCCTAAACTAACCCCTAAACCCCTAAACCCCTAAACCCTAACCCCTAAGCCCTAAACCCCTAAACCCCTAAACCCCTAAGCCCCTCAACCCTAAACCCGAAGCCCAAAAGGCCTGGCAGCTCTCGCCTGCGTGCCGAGAGGAAGGGCCTCCGCCGCCTGCGACTTCGAGCGAGGCGCGCCGTCCGCGGAGACCCTTCCTTCAGGGACCCAAAAAGCACATAGGCACGAGCACTTTATGGGGATATCCCTACAAAACCCCTATTCTTAATTTTTGCTTACTTTGAGGGTTTGGGGGTTTGGGGGTTTAGGGGTTTAGGGGTTTGGGGTTTAGGGGTTTAGGGGTTTACGGGTTTACGGGTTTAGGGTTTGGGGGTTTGGGGGTTTAGGGGTTCAGGGTTTAGTGTGTGGGGTTTGGGGGTTTGGGGGTTTAGGGGTTTAGGGTTTAGGGTTGAGGGGTTTGGGGGTTTAGGGATTGGCGGTTTAGCGGCTTAGGGGCTCCCTCTGAGTGGCAAGAGTTTCCAAGATCCCTTACTTAAGGAATAGTTATATGCCTTAACTCTGATTTACGCTACATTCCGTATTCAAAAGACTTTGGAACGTCTCAGTTCCTTCCTTCCAGCGGTCTTATGAAAAGGAGGGGTCTACAAAGGCCACTGTAAGTTTGTTTGCAGAAGAGTCGGCATGAGAGAGAAGATCATGTGTTCCTTTCATGCGAACGGAAACCTTCTTGCAGCACTGCCTTCTTACAGCCTTACGCGGACCTTGAGCATCTATGCCAATACATGTGTGCGTGTGTGCGCGATTTCCATGCTCCGAATGGTGAAAGATAGCTTTGGTCTGGTTTGAGAGCGCGCAAAGCCCAAGCCCAACCTTCAACCCAGAACCCTTTACACGAAAGTCTTACCTGAACCTTGCTGAACAGCTCCGGCGCAGAGGTCTTGCTCCTTACAGTCGCTGTCTGTCTGTACGGACGTGTATCTTAGCCGTGTTTTCATTATCACGTCCCGAGGCCTGGACTATGAGGCCACACGCGGCCTCACCCTTCAGCGTGGCGGCCTCGGTTCGGAGGTTGAGAGTTTTAACTTCAGGGGTCTTCACGTTCGTGGTTGTAGGGTTCGGGGCTTCAGGAGTTTAGGGTTTGCAGGTTTATGGATTTTGGGTCTTAATTAAGGTTTGTGCTTTTGGGTTTTTGGGCTTTTAGTGTTTCAGCTGAAGACTGTGTACTGACAAAAGATGCCACGGGGATGATGACGGAAAGTAGTGTGCCAGCCACGGCGGTTCGTGTGTTCACCACGGAAGCTCGTGCACTAAGATGGGCGGTTGTCAAAATTATTGTCCTTTTTGGGTCCCATTATAATTCGGCACCTATTATTTAGGGTACCCAAAAAGGGAGCCTAATTTTGACAACCACCCATATAGGGGCCTTAATAGTTACCGACTCTATTCTGGGGTTCCGTAGTTTATTTATAGTATAATGGGTACCTATATTAGTCACGGTAGCAGTGTACTAATCAGTAACACTGCCATAAGCTTGTTGGCCCACCTTGGCTGCCGTCGAGGGGTTTCTCAAGCACAGTCTTTTGACGAGTCCTCTGGCCCAAGAGAGAGTGATCAGCCATGCCCCAAAAAACTGAAACCCTAAACCCTAAACCCCAAACAACAAAACACAACCCAAACAATAAAACCCCTAAACTCCCCTAAGCCCTATGCGCGGGGGGGCGCCCTTTCACCTCAGCCCGGCTAGCGGCTGGGCTGGCTCCGCTGGATCGCACAAGTGCGCCACTTTGCGAGGGCATCGCATCGCACAGAGATGGGAATGGTTTAGGGTTTTACAGTTCTAGAGTCTTAGGGTTTTAGGGTTGCAGGGATTTATGGTTTCAGGGTTTCAGGGTCTTAGGGTTTTTAGGGTTGCGGGGTTCTCGGGTTATTTTAGGGTTAGGGTTTAGGGTTGTAGGGTGTTAGGGTTTTCGGGTTTTAGGGTTTAGGGTTGCAGTGTTTACGGACAGGTTTCGGGTTCCAGGTTTTGTAGGGTTGTGGGGTGTCATCCAGCTCTGCCCTCCAGCTCTGGACGTGCAGCAGGCTGGACACTCGTGGGGGCACACTCCTCAGGAGCCGATGGGCGATGTGCTTCTGAAAAGGTTCCGGACCCCAAACCCTAAAACCGAAACCCTAAACCCCAAACCCTAAAACCGAAACCCTAAACCCCAAACCCTAAAACCGAAGCCCTAAACCCTAAACCGTTGAGTTGTGGGGAGCAGCAGTCAGCACTTTGATGAATTCTCTGGTCTCTTCTCGGCTCTCAAAGCTCGCAAGATGCGCGACTGAGTGGAGGAAGCAATCAAAAAACAGAGGCAAGATTGATTTGTTTCTTGGACGTGTGCTCCCTTGTCAAAGCGGTTTCCAAAAAATTCTCTTTGAGAGGAGTAGAGTTCATTGGGCTTAGGGTGCAAGAAAACTGCTGAGTTTGCGGCTTAGAGCTTCGGCTCAGTTTCTAGCGTCCCAAGCCGTACACCCTAAAGCCCGGAGCCGACTGCGCCCAAACTCGAAACTCAAAAGCGGAAAAGGAGGGACCCTTAATGGGGACCCCTACCCTACAATGGGCTATATAATGGGTATATAATAGCTGTATCAAGGGTATATACCTAGGGGTCCTTATTAAGGGTCCCTCCTTTTGAAACTCCTAACCCTCAACCCTGGTACCGGCAGTTCCCAGTTGGTGGACACCTTGAGGGTGTTGAGGGTCCTCATGGTCCTAGAAGTTGAGTTACTGAAGTCCGACCCCAAACCCTTGCATCCACCCTTACCCCTATAGATGTCTTCAACCCATACAGAACCCTTGTGGATCCCTGCTAAATCCTTTTGGAACCCTTTGGATCCCTTGTAGAGTTGTATACACCAACAGATGCCTTGTCGAGCCCTTATAGAAGCCGTACAGATCTCTTATTTAGCTGTTGTAGAACCTTCAGACAACCCTTACTGAGCCCTTTGAAACAGAAGCCCCCCCCTGCAGAAACCTATGGATCCCTGTAGAAAAGCTACGGTTCCCTTTTATAACCCTTGTTTGTCCCCTAAACCCCGAACCCTAGACCCTGAACCCCAAACCTTAACCCGAAGAAAGAATCAGGTGTGGAGACGGCGGAGCAGTGTTGCACCGCCTGCGAGTCGTGGGAGGACTGCAAGGTCCACCAATGGGAGCTTTCTTGCCAGTGGCGTTGCACTTTGTACGGAGCTTCAGCATTTTTTTATGTGGTCCTTGCAGGGATGTACGGAATTTGGTAGGGTTTCGAGAAGCTTCATAGACTTCGAAGTATGCGAGGATTTGGGGTTTACGGCTTTAGGGGTTCAGGGTTCCAGGGTTCAAGGATTTTTGGCAGTGTTGTAGGGGCAGGAATAATTACCAATGCAGTTTCATAGACTTAGAGTTTTTCCTTCAAGCTATGCTACAATTCACCGAAGGCCGATTCTAATTGCTAAGACCCCTATGTTTAGGGTTCCTAAAGGCTTGTGTGGTTCTGGGGTGCCGGGGCTGGATCTCCAACTCAAGAGGCCACCCATCCGCCCCCACCCAGCCCCCAGGATTTCGGCCGAAAGTTCTGAACTCCTAAACCCCTAAAGCCCGAAACCCCTAAACCCTAAGCCCTAAACCCTAAACCGTCTTGGGCCTATACGACCCTAAACGGGTTGAGGGGTTTAAGGTTTAGGGTTTAACCCTAAATCTCATCCCTAAACCTAGTTCCGCAAAAAGGCCAACGATCCCCCAGTTCCTGAGAGCCTGAAGTACGTAGTATAGGGGCCTAGATAATTACCGACACTCTTTTTTTTGGGGGGGCGGGGTTCCTGATCATACTTACAGTATCATGGGCCCCAAAAGCGTGTTCTAATTATTAAGGCGCCTAAAGTAGTTACCTCGTTCCGCAAAAAGCCCCAGAGATAATTACCAATGCTATTTTGGGGGTTCCTGATTATAATCACAGTATCATGGCCCCACAACCGTATTTTTAAGGCCCCTAGAGCAATTATCTTTGTGTTTGGAGCTTCGGGTTGCCCCCCCTTGACCCCCCAACCTAGCTTTGGACCAAAGAACCCCGAAACCCCAAACCCTGACACTCGAAACACAAAGCCTCAAATCCTTAAAGCCCAAACCCTGAAACTTTAATACTAAACACTAAACCTGAAGCATTAAGACTAAACCCTACATGCCCTAAACCTACACACGAACCCTAAGCCCCAGAAGCCTTTTACCTCGCACCCTAGAGCCCTTCAACGTTCCTGGCGGAGCCCCTAGGCCTGGATTCTGAAAAGTATAGTTAGACTAGAGGTTTTGGGGGGCATACTCTACCGTAATTGTAGGGGTTTTGCGGGTATGTTATGCCATCGTGATAGGGGTTGTTGTCACGAGCCTGAGAGGTTGGCGTCTGGGACGAGTATTGGCACGAGCGGCTTGGACTTTTGCCTCAGGAACCTACGGCTTTCGGTGTAGCATTAGGTCAGGGGCCTGATGGACACACCTTTCCGCGTTTGTAAGCTTACAATGGTTTAACTGTGCAGACCCTTCTTGGAAGGGGTTTGGGTGGAGGGACTCCTAAGGGTTCTCTATCAAGGATGTTTGCTGTACGCAAGCTGTGGTTTCCCCCTCGTTATGGACAATGCAGGATCTTGTCCATCAGCAGTATCGGAGCTTTGGCTGTTGAGCTTGACAGTGTGTACGCATGGTTGCAAGGGCTGGCTTGCTTGGAGACATTTTGCGGTTGGGGGTGGTCGAGCTTCCGGTGCATGGGGTCACCACCGCCACCACCCCCATCAACACCGCCCCCCAATTCAACGCCGCCACCACCACCACCACCACCACCACCACCACCACCACCACCACCACCACCACCACCACCACCACCACCACCACCACAACGTCAAGTACAATACACCGGTGGCCATGGCAGCAGCAGTTCGGAAAAGTGCAACCATCGGTGCTATTGTCTTCTGGGACGGGAGCTTCTGCAGCGCCTCAGCCAAAGCCAAGGTGCTATTTGAAGTCTGGCTTCGTTTCACGCCGGATCAGCACCAAGCCGCCTCTTAGCTGCTGATAGCCTTAAAGCCGAACGCCCAAGGTCCTGAACCCGCAATCCAGCATTTTTCATTGGGCGTTTCATCTGACTCGCAGCGCTAAGGCCTGCAAAATCCGAAACGCAGTATCGAGAAGAGCCCGCGGGGCGTACTGAACTCCCAAAGTTAGTGCGTTTGTTTGTCTGTTCATCTTCCTATCTACCTATCTATCCCCATCTCTGTCTCCATCTCCATCTCCACTGTCTCCCTCCATCTCCATATATGTGTCTGTCTCTATGTGTCTATTCGTATCCCTATCTCTTTATCTCCCTATTTATCTACCCACCGACCGACCTATCCATCTGTCTATCTACTTACCTATCTATCTTTCTATACATCTTTCTGTCCGTGCCATGCCTCCGTTTATCCATGGTTCCATCTATATCTGTATGTATCTGCGTAGCCATCTGACATGTTTATCAATTCTGTTTGGATATGTATGTATGTATGTGTGTATATATATATATATACAAACACACCTATGTATATATGTACATATATATATATATATATATCTAGCATACATCTCTCTCTCTCTCTATATATATATATATACACATACACCTAACAGCTACATGTATATATATATATATATGTATGTATGATCATGCGACATGTACTTGCACCTTTTTTTTACACATATCTTCTCTGCGTGGCCGCCTCGCAAGCCCCTCCTAGCCCTGTCACTATGTCCTGGCGGCTCTGTGTTGTACTTCAGACCTTACGTCATTGTGTAGGGTTTGCAGGGTTTAGGGTTTGGGGTTTTAGGGTTTAGGTGTGGGGTGCCGAGTTTAGTGGCGGTGTTCGAGGGGAACCGTTCTCGGGTCCTAAAACCTCCAAACCACATCCCAAAGCCCAAAGCCCAACATCCTGAACACCCAGACTTTTCTGTAAAAAGGGCTCAATCAAAAGCAAACCCAAAACCCCAAACCCAGACCTTCCAGTATCCTTTGAACTAGAGTAGGATGCCTAATATGATCCAAGGTATATTCCTGAATTAAGGGATTCTGGAAGGTCTGGGCTTGTCCCAATGCCCTAAACCCAACCTTGAAGCCTAAACCCAACCTTGAAGCCTAAACTGTCTCAATCCCATTTGGAAATTTAAAGCCCGTATCCCTACTAAACCCTAAACCCTAAACCCTAAACCCTAAACCCTAAACCCCAAAACCCCGATTGGGAATTACAAGCCCTTCTCACGTGAGGGGTTTGGGATTTGGGAACCTCACAGCTGCGGAAGGGAACCCTTAAAGGAACCTCTAAAGGATCCCTTAAAGGTGCCCTTACAGGAACCCTGAAAGGAACTCTTAAAGGAACTCTTAAAGGAACACTTACAGGAACCTTGAAAGGAACTCTTAAAGGAACTCTTAAAGGAGCACTTAAAGGAACCCTTAGAGGAACTCTTAGAGGAACACTTAAAGGAACTCTTAAAGGAACACTTAAAGGAACCCTGAAAGGAACTCTTAAAGGAACTCTTAAAGAAACACTTCAAGGAACCCTTAGAGGAACTCTTACAGGAACTCTTAAAGGAACTCTTAAAGGAACTCTTAAAGAAACACTTCAAGGAACCCTTAGAGGAACTCTTACAGGAATTCTTAAAGGAACTCTTAGAGGAACACTTAAAGGAACTCTTAAAGGAACACTTAAAGGAACCCTGAAAGGAACTCTTAAAAGAACTCTTAAAGGAACTCTTAAAGAAACACTTCAAGGAACCCTTAGAGGAACTCTTACAGGAATTCTTAAAGGAACTCTTAGAGGAACTCTTAAAGAAACACTTCAAGGAACCTTTAGAGAAACTCTTACAGGAATTCTTAAAGGAACTCTTAGAGGAACACTTAAAGGAACTCTTAAAGGAACACTTAAAGGAACCCTGAAAGGAACTCTTAAAGGAACTCTTAAAGGAACACTTAGAGGAACTCTTACAGGAATTCTTAAAGGAACTCTTAGAGGAACACTTAAAGGAACCCTTAAAGGAACACTTAAAGGAACCCTGAAAGGAACTCTTAAAGGAACTCTTAAAGGAACACTTAGAGGAACTCTGACAGGAATTCTTAAAGGAACTCTTAGAGGAACACTTAAAGGAACCCTTAAAGGAACACTTAAAGGAACCCTGAAAGGAACTCTTAAAGGAACTCTTAAAGGAACACTTAGAGGAACTGGAATTCTTAAAGGAACTCTTAGAGGAACACTTAAAGGAACCCTTAAGGAACACTTAAAGGAACCCTGAAAGGAACTCGTAAAGGAACTCTTAAAGGAACACTTAGAGGAACTCTTACAGGAATTCTTAAAGGAACTCTTAGAGGAACACTTAAAGGAACCCTTAAAGGAACACTTAAAGGAACCCTGAAAGGAACTCTTAAAGGAACTCTTAAAGGAACACTTAGAGGAACTCTTACAGGAATTCTTAAAGGAACTCTTAGAGGAACACTTAAAGGAACCCTTAAAGGAACACTTAAAGGAACCCTGAAAGGAACTCTTAAAGGAACTCTTAAAGGAACACTTAGAGGAACTCTTACAGGAATTCTTAAAGGAACTCTTAGAGGAACACTTAAAGGAACCCTTAGAGGAACACTTAAAGGAACCCTGAAAGGAACTCGTAAAGGAACTCTTAAAGGAACACTTAGAGGAACTCTTACAGGAATTCTTAAAGGAACTCTTCGAGGAACACTTAAAGGAACCCTTAAAGGAACACTTAAAGGAACCCTGAAAGGAACTCTTAAATGAACTCTTAAAGGAACACTTAGAGGAACTCTTACAGGAATTCTTAAAGGAACTCTTAGAGGAACACTTAAAGGAACCCAAAAGGAGCCCGGAGCCCTTTAAAGGAACCCTCATGAGGCTGGTCGGCTGCCTGGCGAGGGCGAGCAACCCCGAGGCGTCTTCGAGGAGTAGGGTTTAGGGTTGAGTGTTAGGGTTTGAGGAGTAGTCCGGGTCTAGGATTTGAGGGTTGAGGAGGGTTTGAGGGTTAGAGTTTGGGGTTTAGGGCTTCGGAGGTCTGCTTTTTCAGGGGTTATAGTCACTATAATCATTCTGCCGTGAGGTTGCCAAGTTCCCTTAAAGCTCTAATTACTCTAACTCAACTGTGTGATCATAGCCCCCAAAATCATAGAATGAGGGTGTCGGCTGTAGCCTACAATCGTCACAAGTCTCGTTTCTATAGAGTCTTTGCAGAGTGTTTTTAGGATACAGGCTTTAGGGTTTAGGATTTACAGACCTCCGCACTAGAAGCCAGCCGCCGCGACGGTCTTTTTGGAGCCTCAAGCCACAGTCCAGAATTGCAGGAATCGGCCTTATGGTTAGTTTAGAAGCCAGAATAGTTGGTAAGACAATTCCTTTGGCCAGCTGAGTTCAACTTTACTATAACAAGCCCCCCAACCCCTGCTCGAATTCCGCCGCAATGTCGGGTCTTGTGTGATTCTTTGGTAGCTCTGCAGCCTACCCTGGCTTCACTACTTCTCGGAAGGTATGACGGACGCATTCACCCGCAGAGCTCTATGAACAAGACATACCTAGAGCTTTGCTATACTTAGATGTACCGCTCGATGTGCTGCTCTCGTAAAGCAGAAGAGTACCAGCATGGCGGTGATAATTAGAAAAAGGAAGATGAGGCAGATTGTGCAGATTATGCGGTGATGATGATGCAGATGCTTATGCTGACGCTGATGATGATGGTTCTGATGTTGGTCATATATCCTGCCCACAAAATAGCGAGTGTATGGCTCCTAACGTCGCCTGCAAAGCCAGGCAGGACCTTCGCAGCCGATTGCAGCAAGTGACCTCAAGCCCTTCCTCCAGCTGATCCGTGCCTCGACATCATGCCTTCCACCGCCACCAACGTTGCCATGGCTGGCGTCGGTGCCTTCGCGGCAGCGGGTGCCTTGAGCGGTGCCTTCGTGGCGCCCGCTGGCTCGGTCCAGCACAGCGAGCCCCAGATGCAGAGGACCAACCTTCGCGCGTCCGGCTATGGCTCCTCGCAGGCTGCTGGTGTTGGTGCCATGGCTGGGCTTGGTGCCGTGGCCGGTCTGGCGGCGGCAGGTGTGGCTGGCAAGCGTGCCAGCAAGGGACGCACCTCCATGCAGGCCGTGGGCGTCGGCATCAACGGCTTCGGCCGCATCGGCAGGCAGGTGGCCCGCATCGCCATGAAGGACCCGGAGACCGAGCTTAAGCTCATCAACGCCAGCTACGATGCCGACTACCTGGCATACATGATGAAATATGATACTATTCATGGTAAGTATGATGGAACCGTCGAGGTGGATGGCGACTCCCTGGTCATTGACGGCCAGAAGGTGGCCTTGTCCCACACCCGCGACCCTGCTGAGATCCCTTTTGGCGAGCACGGTGCAGAGTACGTCTGCGAGTCCACCGGCGTGTTCCTGACCACCGAGAAGGTGCAGCCCCACTTGAAGGCCGGTGCCAAGAAGGTGATCTTCTCCGCGCCCGCAAAGGATGACTCCCACACCATCGTTATGGGCGTGAACGAGGACACTTACGACCCGTCCATGGAGGCCGTGTCCTGCGCCTCTTGCACTACCAACGGCCTGGCCCCTGCCGTGCGTGTCCTGCAGGAGAAGTTCGGCATCAAGCGTGGCCTGATGACGACTTGCCACGCCATGACCGCCTCTCAGCCCACTGTGGATGGCACCTCCAAGAAGGACTGGCGCGGTGGCCGTGCCGGCCCTGGCAACATCATTCCCAGCTCCACCGGCGCTGCCAAGGCAGTGGCCAAGGTCATTCCGGACGTGAAGGGCAAGCTGACCGGCATGGCTTTGCGTGTGCCGACCATCGACGTGTCCGTGGTCGACCTGACCGTGGAGTTGGAGAAGGAGACCACCTACGAGGAGATCTGCGCCGAGATGAAGAAGCGCTCCGAGGGAGACATGAAGGGCTACCTGGGCTACACGGACGAGGCCCTGGTGTCCACCGATTTCGAGACCAACCCGATCTCTTGCACTTTCGACTCCAAGGCTGGCATCATGCTGGACCCTACCTTCGTCAAGGTCGTGTGCTGGTATGATAACGATTCTACGGCTTTCCTGGAACACTTTCGGTATCGTGAAGTTTTAAGAAAGCAACATAACGCAGGTGATACTTTGTATAGAGCCACGAAGTAAAAGCATCTCAGGAGTGGGGCTACAGCTGCCGAGTTGTCGATTTGATCAAGCACATGGCCGCGGAGGATGCCAAGGCATAAGCTGTCCACCCGAGGCTGCAACTGTTTAAGGAATTAGAAGAAAGGGTTGATGAAATCAACCTACTCTGGCTCCTACCGGACTCTCCGAGGTCAGTTTTCCTTAACGCTGCCGAACACAATGGCACGCCCTTAGCAAAAAGAAGTTTTCCCGTCGGCGAGTGCTCTGAAGTGTGCTTGTCTACACGTAAAAGGAAGAGTGCATAAGCGGGTACACAAGAAGCAGCCATCAAGCAGGTTCGAAAGCCCTTCGTTGTGCAGATCCTCGACATCATGCCTTCCACCGCCACCAACGTTGCCATGGCTGGCGTCGGTGCCTTCGCGGCAGCGGGTGCCTTGAGCGGTGCCTTCGTGGCGCCCGCTGGCACGGTCCAGCACAGCGAGCCCCAGATGCAGAGGACCAACCTTCGCGCGTCCGGCTATGGCTCCTCGCAGGCTGCTGGTGTTGGTGCCATGGCTGGGCTTGGTGCCGTGGCCGGTCTGGCGGCGGCAGGTGTGGCTGGCAAGCGTGCCAGCAAGGGACGCACCTCCATGCAGGCCGTGGGCGTCGGCATCAACGGCTTCGGCCGCATCGGCAGGCAGGTGGCCCGCATCGCCATGAAGGACCCGGAGACCGAGCTTAAGCTCATCAACGCCAGCTACGATGCCGACTACCTGGCATACATGATGAAATATGATACTATTCATGGTAAGTATGATGGAACCGTCGAGGTGGATGGCGACTCCCTGGTCATTGACGGCCAGAAGGTGGCCTTGTCCCACACCCGCGACCCTGCTGAGATCCCTTTTGGCGAGCACGGTGCAGAGTACGTCTGCGAGTCCACCGGCGTGTTCCTGACCACCGAGAAGGTGCAGCCCCACTTGAAGGCCGGTGCCAAGAAGGTGATCTTCTCCGCGCCCGCAAAGGATGACTCCCACACCATCGTTATGGGCGTGAACGAGGACACTTACGACCCGTCCATGGAGGCCGTGTCCTGCGCCTCTTGCACTACCAACGGCCTGGCCCCAGCCGTGCGTGTCCTGCAGGAGAAGTTCGGCATCAAGCGTGGCCTGATGACCACTTGCCACGCCATGACCGCCTCTCAGCCCACTGTGGATGGCACCTCCAAGAAGGACTGGCGCGGTGGCCGTGCCGGCCCTGGCAACATCATTCCCAGCTCCACTGGCGCCGCCAAGGCAGTGGCCAAGGTCATTCCGGACGTGAAGGGCAAGCTGACCGGCATGGCTTTGCGTGTGCCGACCATCGACGTGTCCGTGGTCGACCTGACCGTGGAGTTGGAGAAGGAGACCACCTACGAGGAGATCTGCGCCGAGATGAAGAAGCGCTCCGAGGGAGACATGAAGGGCTACCTGGGCTACACGGACGAGGCCCTGGTGTCCACCGATTTCGAGACCAACCCGATCTCTTGCACTTTCGACTCCAAGGCTGGCATCATGCTGGACCCTACCTTCGTCAAGGTCGTGTGCTGGTATGATAACGATTCTACGGCTTTCCTGGAACACTTTCGGTATCGTGAAGTTTTAAGAAAGCAACATAAGGCTGGTGATACTTTGTATAGAGCCACGAAGTAAAAGCATCTCAGGAGTGGGGCTACAGCTGCCGAGTTGTCGACTTGATCAAGCACATGGCCGCGGAGGATGCCAAGGCATAAGCTGTCCACCCGAGGCTGCAACTGTTTAAGGAATTAGAAGAAAGGGTTGATGAAATCAACCTACTCTGGCTCCTACCGGACTCTCCGAGGTCAGTTTTCCTTAACGCTGCCGAACACAATGGCACGCCCTTAGCAAAAAGAAGTTTTCCCGTCGGCGAGTGCTCTGAAGTGTGCTTGTCTGCATGTAAAAGTAAGAGTGCATAAGCGGGTACACAAGAAGCAGCCATCAAGCAGGTTCGAAAGCCCTTCGTTGTGCAGATCCTCGACATCATGCCTTCCACCGCCACCAACGTTGCCATGGCTGGCGTCGGTGCCTTCGCGGCAGCGGGTGCCTTGAGCGGTGCCTTCGTGGCGCCCGCTGGCACGGTCCAGCACAGCGAGCCCCAGATGCAGAGGACCAACCTTCGCGCGTCCGGCTATGGCTCCTCGCAGGCTGCTGGTGTTGGTGCCATGGCTGGGCTTGGTGCCGTGGCCGGTCTGGCGGCGGCAGGTGTGGCTGGCAAGCGTGCCAGCAAGGGACGCACCTCCATGCAGGCCGTGGGCGTCGGCATCAACGGCTTCGGCCGCATCGGCAGGCAGGTGGCCCGCATCGCCATGAAGGACCCGGAGACCGAGCTTAAGCTCATCAACGCCAGCTACGATGCCGACTACCTGGCATACATGATGAAATATGATACTATTCATGGTAAGTATGATGGAACCGTCGAGGTGGATGGCGACTCCCTGGTCATTGACGGCCAGAAGGTGGCCTTGTCCCACACCCGCGACCCTGCTGAGATCCCTTTCGGGGAGCACGGTGCAGAGTACGTCTGCGAGTCCACTGGCGTGTTCCTGACCACCGAGAAGGTGCAGCCCCACTTGAAGGCCGGTGCCAAGAAGGTGATCTTCTCCGCGCCCGCAAAGGATGACTCCCACACCATCGTCATGGGCGTGAACGAGGACACTTACGACCCGTCCATGGAGGCCGTGTCCTGCGCCTCTTGCACTACCAACGGCCTGGCCCCTGCCGTGCGTGTCCTGCAGGAGAAGTTC